CATATCTTTAAATTGATCGGGTATTTGATTGGGTCCCCATCCATTCGGGTTGTCCTAAATTTGCGGCGGTATAAGGTGGGCAGTCGACATCTTTATTACATAAACGTGAAAACTGGTCTGAAATCAATGTACGTACGCTTTCGACCTGCGCTTATACACTATGGTATACTTATATCAAAATAGTAATAATTCAGATGTATGGCTATCATCGTCAACATTTATCGAAGATAAGTCACAATATATATAACAAGATATTAAATATCTTTAAATGGTTTTCACAATTGTAAATACAAAAGTAATTTCGTTATATTTTGATATCAAAATAAATCTATTAAATGGTACATACGAACAGTTTAATAAGTTTACGTAAATGAATATACAACAGTTTAATAGATGTATACTATTTTGTACTACTAATGCACACTTTAATCAACACAATAATGTGTAAGTTGTTTCCCTTATATATTATCACATCGCAGCAACAGTATTCTCATTTCCGTCTTAACTTAATCGGTGAGCTTAGCACAGAGACACGACACTGTGTTTAATACATTTTATTTTATGTAATTGTTGTGTATGGAATAATTACTGCAAACAATTGCAACAGCATTATTCGTTTGTATTGTTTTATTATCCTATTCATTTAATAAGGAATATTTTAGGCCCTAAACTTTAGGGGTAATGTTATATCGTTAGTTTTGCTGTCAGCTATTATTAACGTATTTAACTTGGGATTTAAAATCTTTTTGGGGGGATTTAAATGCCCTATATATCTTTCTGTAGACAAACAGGACAACTTTTGAATAGAAATGTATCAGATGATTGTCAGGACTGTAGGGTGTACTCGTGTCTGTGCTGCTCGACCTATGTGTAGTTTAATCTTGGTTTACATTGACCCTGGTGTAGAAATAGATTTTTGGAAATATTAACACTGATATTATAAACAATTATTCAAACCATAGAAAAGCAGTATTATACTTTAAAAACAGAATTTATGCTAATTTACAAATATTTGAATCTTTATAAAGCTAATATTTTCAAACTTGAATACGAGACAAATAATGAAAGTATAAAGCTTAAACAGCACTCGTACGGTTTAGAACTTCCAATATGTATTAAGCTGACAACAACGAATCACCTGTAATATTTTACAATAAAAATTGTATATAGTGGTATTGAAAGATTGGGTAGATACATTTAAAGATGTTTTCTCTAGTCTATATGTTCTAGTTCATCTACTTTTGTCTTTAGTTGTTAAAACAGAGTAATTTTTATTTCAGGAATCACCAAAGGGGGGGGGGGGAATCGGAGGGGCGTCAACCACCACCCAAACCCCTTAAAATAATATAGAATGTATACATAAATGTATACTTTAAACACATTCCGCTCCCCCCTCTCTCTTTATCCATCCCACCCCCTCCCCCCTCCATCGGAGAAAAAAATGGAAATTGTTAGGCACAGTTTGACATAGACACATTATTTTCAATTTGCCTTAACTAAACTTATGCCCAAGAAAATATGTGATATTGCTAAAAATATTCATCTACCACATGTTTTTAATTAAAGTTTTTCATGAAATTTTTTTATTTGCATTTCGTTCGTTAAAAAAAATATTTTCAAAAACATCATTTGATAGTTCTCGTTTATTGTTTTCTTTGTCTTCCACTCTTCATAATTTCCGTCGTTACAAAAAAGCATTGGTCTGGGTTAGTTATAACATTTTCTCCATCTCTTTTGATTGTCGCTGATACATTTTATCTGCCAAATAAAAACACTGTTACGTTTTACATGTGCAACTATTGATAAATAGTCAGATCCTAAAGCTAAAGCTACAATAATTTTGACTTCTGTTAACTTCTCTAACACCAGAAAACAAAATAACAAGATCGTGTCTATTGTTTTAGACTTCCTAGATCTCATGACTAACCTCTGCTCTTCTTCACTTGTATGACCTAATACTCTAGACTGGTCAAAATCGTTGCGGAGGGGGGGGGGGGGGGGGGGTTAAGGTACATGTGTCCCCGGGCGCCGACCCAAGGGCGCCAAAATAAGCTCATTTTAGCTGCTATTTTGAATTATAATTATAAAACAATATAATGGGGGGGGGGGGGGGGGGCGTCAAATTGAAAGTTAGTCTCGATGCGCGGGTGGGGTAGCTACCCGTTGAGACTGTTCTCTAGAATGACGACTAACGCATACTTCTACTGGTAATAATCTTTCTCGATATAATTCATTAGATAAACTCTGTGATAAAATTATGGAGGTTCCATCAACTGCATTACCGTGATTTAATCATTCTATATATCGACGCTGGAATCTTCACGATTATACAGTTTACAACCAAAGCATTTCTTTTATGGATAAAGTGCATCAGTTATAGCAAATTTGTATTGTTGCTTTATAACAACTGACTGTAATATCCCAGTTAAATATGGAGCTTTTCAATGGAATGTTTATTTATAGCTGAGATGAGACAAAATAATTAGAATTTCTTTTAAGTCAATTTAGGCAAAATATATTATTTGCTATTCTAATAGATTGCATACATAATGTTTCTAATTAATGCTCAGCATTGGAATTGTCACGTCCTGGTTAGTTTCTACTCAATAACGACTCGTGTTTACGTTCCATACTTTTATTCCGTCTCAAATATTCACATTCCACAGTAGCCCTCGTCCTAACCGCTACCAACTAACCCCTAACAATCATTCACTCCAGCTTTTATACCACATCGACCTTGGGATAACAATACATAAACACACCGGGGTTAACAATATTCTAGGGTAAACTCAACTCACACACACACTCTCCCCTAATTCTAGATTATTCTAACATATTTCTATCTAACCTACAACTGACCCGTAACAGGAATGCTAACATATTTTTCAAAATGCCTTCTTTATGTATTTCTTTTTAAAGTATTTATAAGAACTTTAGAACAAAACCCAAAGTGTGATCGAAAACATTGTTTATGTACAACATCCGTTGGACAGTGAACACAATTTTATGATATCATTTGTCTTTATACAGTTAAAATATTTTACTCTCACGTGATAACAATAGTCTAATGTCTACTTTTATTTTATATAACAATAAATAAAAGCGTAAGACTGTAATAAAACAAAAGCGTATTTATTTGCCAACACATATTAAAGACCGTCAAATTTTAGCATTCTTTATCGGCGTATTTATATGTAAATGTATAATATTAATCTGTACGAAGCGTTAACGATAGCATTTGTGTACCTGGTTATTTTTTTACATGTGCCAATCAACTTTCAACCATTTAAAAAACAATACAGTTACAACCCGTCCGTGATTTGTATTTAGCGATAAGTAATTATTATTGCTTAAATTTGGGTTTAGTTATGTAAAACCAAATGTTGTACTTTAATACATTTTTTTAATATATATATAATTTGTTGTGTTTATTCAAAGCTGGAAATTCGTAAGCATAAAATGCACAATGAACACGATTTTAAAAACAATAAGACCAATACTTTAAAATATGGCGTCGCTCAGTGAACATATCAAGTTTGCGAATAATATATACATTAGATTTCTCAAGGGGTTAAGTCCAATTATATATAACATCTGACATTCTGCATGAGTGAGCAAGACTCAAATCTTCCGAGAATTTAAAAATAATTTAAGCTGGTCTGGATGATAAATGATACATGACTTGGTAACTATACTCAAAAAAAAAGTAAAAAAATAAAAATGATGACATTGCAACTTGGATGAAAATCTTGTGAATCCTTGATGCTTTTATCTGCTGAAAATGGTTGAATAAATCCCCAACCACGGCCACGATCGTTTCCATTAACAATTTCAACTCCAGCATCTTGAATAAGCCTTTTTGTTTCAGAAATAGCGTTTTTGCTCCCAGATAACTCAACAGAACTTCTACCAGATAAGTGGCCATCACGTGACACATTTATCCGACAACCACTGTCTGCTTCCATGTCTCGTAGTCTGCCTACTTCAGACGACTCAACATCAATTGTTTCAGATTCGCCACCACCATCACCTCCAAAGCCTCTACCAACTCCACCGCCACCACCATCACCTCCAAAGGCTCTACCACTATCACCTCCAAAGCTTCTACCACCACCACCTCCACCATCACCTCCAAAGCCTCTACCACCGCCACCTCCACCATCACCTCCAAAGCTACTACCACCACCACCTCCACCATCACCTCCAAAGCCTCTACCACCGCCACCTCCACCATCACCTCCAAAGCTACTACCACCACCGCCTCCACCATCACCTCCAAAGCCTCTACCACCGCCACCTCCACCATCACCTCCAAAGCTACTACCACCACCACCTCCACCATCACCTCCAAAGCCTCTACCACCGCCACCTCCACCATCACCTCCAAAGCTACTACCACCACCACCTCCACCATCACCTCCAAAGCTACTACCACCACCACCTCCACCATCACCTCCAAAGCTTCTACCACCGCCACCTCCACCATCACCTCCAAAGCTACTACCACCACCACCTCCACCATCACCTCCAAAGCCTCTACCACCACCACCTCCACCATCACCTCCAAAGCTACTACCACCACCACCTCCACCATCACCTCCAAAGCTTCTACCACCGCCACCTCCACCATCACCTCCAAAGCTACTACCACCACCACCTCCACCATCACCTCCAAAGCCTCTACCACCGCCACCTCCACCGTCACCTCCAAAACCTCTACCACATCCGCCGCCACCTCCATCACCTCCAAAGCCTCTACCAACGCAACCGCCACCACCATCACGTCCAAAGCCTCTACCGCCGCCGCCGCCACCACCATCACCTCCAAAGCCTCTACCACCACCGCCGCCACCACCATCACCTCCAAAGCCTCTACCACCATCACCTCCAAAGCTTCTACCACCGCCGCCGCCACTACCATCACCTCCAAAGCCTCTACCACCGCCACTTCCACCATCACCTCCAAAGCCTCTACCACCGCCGCCGCCACCACCATCACCTCAAAAGCCTCTACCATCACCACCTCCATCATCACGTCCAAAGCCTCTACCATCACCACCTCCACCATCACCTCCAAAGCCTCTACCACCGCCGCCGCCACCACGGCTTCCACCACTAAGGCATTCTTCAATTAGTCTCTTGGCATTTTCAATCTCTTCCGTTGTTCCACTGATTTCAACAGATTTCATTCCATCCTCATATCTGGATATTTTGATTCTGGCATTACTGTCTTGTTCTAGATCTCTGATTTTACTTCCAACAAGACCTATGATCTTTCCCACATTTGATGACTCAACCATCATTGTTGTTGAACTTACGCCGCCACCACGGCCTCCGCCAAAAGATCCGCTAAATGACATTTTGTCTAATTCCTAAAATTATAAATACTTTTTTTTTTCATTATTTAAAATTTAATTATAAGTTTAATTTCTAGAATGTTAATTAATAATGTATTACATAAATATAACTGATTAATCCTTGACAGAGTGAAAATATTCTAGTTTGATTTGACTTAAATCTTCCCCATCTCTTACAACAGATGAATACACAATGTTATATTCATGTTGTTTTTGCCATAGAGATGGACATCCAACGTTTGACCTTCTACACTCTAATTAAAGTAACGGATCTGGACATCCTTGAGCCCATTTGTGATTATGTTTTTACTTATCCCAGGCAGGGCAATGACTGCAATAGCACCGGCAGCTGTAGCATTGAATGATGTAACTGGTGAAGCGCCAACTGACGTAGCACCAGTGTTGTTAGAATGTGTTGCAGTGTTTGAATATGTGTCTCGCAGCATGATAGCGTGGTGAATGGCATTGATGGTCCAGTGTACGTAGCTGGCAAATTGTGTGTTTGAAGTTGTCTGTGTCTGACCATTGCACCACAACAGATTGTTTGTATGTTGGAGATGGACGATCCAAAGGGTTGAAGAACACAGGTTTCTCCATACACCCCTTGTCTTTGTATTTATTTTTATACCAATCAGGAAGTGCTGTGGGTTTCCTTGTTTCTCTGTCAATGTACACCAGCTGATTCAACTGTGTCCATAAAGGTTCTTCTATGGTTTTACCAGCGGTGTAGAAATGTGACACGCTTCCCATTGAGGAATTTCTAACATAGCCCATGACAAACACCTCGTCCAGTGGCTGTTTGAGAACTTCAGCAGAGTACAACGACCTTGACATTGTGAACTGAGTGGAGGACACAAAGGTGAAGTTGTTTTTAGTAATGCTTGGCCAGTCGAGAAAAACGTGACCAGCATTGTTGTAGGGTCTGTTCATGACGTGCGATCTGGATATGACAGAGGTCAACATCAGGCTGGTCAATTTTGGGTTACCATCTCTATCAAAACTTTCATGACCAGGTATGGTAAAGTTTGCTGTCCAAAAAGGTGTGTCTGTAACCCTAAGGTTTGTTACATGAAATTGGTTTCATAATGACTTTTTCCACACTTGGGTTGCTGCTGTTTTTAAGTTGTTTAAGACACTCATTGCGTCGAGTTGTTGATATTTTTCAACCTTATCATAACATAACCTTTGCCTTCGGACCTAAAATTATAAATAGAATAGTTTTAATGGAGAACCTACCGGATACAGAACGTGAGTTACAGATCAGGCACAAAGTATATAATAAATTATATACCATCTTTAAATGGTTATTTTGTTTTTAAATACAACAGCAATTTAATTACACTTTTATGTCGAAACTTATCTCTTAAATGATATATACGGTCGTAAAAGTTTGTATTAGGAAATTAAAATAATAATGTAAAAGATGTATACTATGTTTGAACTGTTTAGGTATACGTTAATCAACAAAATAATTCGTAAGTTGTTTCCCTTGTGAATGTAAATTAAAACCCGATCATTTATCACATCGAAACAATATAATTATAATATGTCTGTCTCTTAATTTGTGAGAGCAGCACAGAGATATGAGTCTGAACAATTTCATTTTATTTAATACATGTGTAGAGTGTATATGGAATAATTACGTCAAATAATTGCAACAGTATTATACATGTTTGGTTTGTTTTATTTTCCTATTCATTTAATATGGAGTAGATTAGACGTAATGTTCTATCGTTTGTTTTGTTGTCCGCCGTTCTTCGTTTATTTAATGTTTGATTTAAAATGTTTTTGGGTGGATTTAAATGTGTTCATTTATTGCATTTTCGATCACTATTATCATTTATTTTTTATTTTTTAATGTATTTATTTTTTTTTATTTTTTTCTTTTCCTTTTTTATGATTTTTTTTTTTTTTTTGTCGTTACAAAAACAGCTATGGTCTGGGTTAGATGTAACATTTTCTCATTCTCTTCTGATTGTTGCTGATATATTTTTACGGCTAAATAAAGCACTGGTTAGTTGTAAACTTGCAAGTATTGATGTATAGGCAGCTCCTGAAGCATTGTTTCAGTTAGCTAGATCCAGTGGCGTAGCGAGGTCGGGTGTCACCCGGTACGGCACTTAATGGTGTCACAACCCCCCCCCCCCCCAGAGGCGTAGCGACCCTTCCCGCGGACACATTTTAGATTTGCTCCTCCTCCCCTTCAAACGTTTGATTTGCATCCCCCCCCCCTTCTCAAACTTTCGATTTGCACCCCCACCTCAATTTTTTCTCTATATATTTTGCTATTTTTTTTTGCCATGGCGTCACCCCCCTAAATGGTGTCACCCGGTGCGATCCGCACCCCCGCCCTCCCCCCCCCCCCTCGCTACGCCTCTGGCTAGATCAGCAGCTTTAAATAGAAGATGCATTTGTGTTGGTTCACATTCAGTTTAATAGCAATCACACAGCCATGTTACTTTTGTGTTTATAATATCGTTTGTATTTGTTTTACGATCAAAATCAAATAATTTGATGACTTTGGTTGACATTTGGCAAAATGTATTTTAGTTTCCCCTCAGTTCTATATAGCGGTGGATAGCACTGTCACCTTGAGCTGCGGATGTTGCTATTTAAATTAAAGTAAATAACATGTAACTGTTTTTACACTTATATATATATTGTATGTTATATTAGTATGATCTGACTCTGATCGAGAACCGCAAGATATAGTGCTTTTATTTGTATTAATTCGATGTCTTTAACTTATAAGGGGTGATATGCAAAATGTTATATTTAGCATTTTATCGTTTAATTAAAAAAAGTCAAACATAACTGCATAAGCACAATACCATATGCAAATAATTTACACAAACAGTTTACATTAATCCCAATAAAAATCATTTTTGTTTAGGTGATGCCACGTTCTTTACTAGTGATGATTTATGCATTACGTTTACGTTTTCAATTTTTTTACTTTCTCGTAGGCCTATATACGAAGTATAGAGAAAGTCTTATAATCGTGCAAAAAAAATCGAGATTTTTACAAATCTCTACGTTTTACATCTCACTGATACGGAAAAACATAATTTTGCAATCTTGTCCGTGTCTGTGTGTCTGTCTGTGTGTGTGTGTGTGTAAACACGATAACTTGAGTACCGTTACAGCCAGGTTGATGAAATTTCATATATAAGTATTTTATCAAAATCGTAGATTCCTATCAACTTTTGAGCGATTTACGATAACCGGAAGTGGTACTTTACCTACTTTGAATTTTTCAAAAGCCTATAACTTGAGTACTATTTCAGATAGATAAACGAAATTTCACATGTAAGTAAAAGATCTAATGTTCTACCTTCTGTTAAATTTTGAGTCATTTCCGTTGACCGAAAGTAGTAATTTACGCTACTTCAGATTTCTCAAAAAACGAATGTAAATTTTCAAAGTACTAATAATATTGCGCACTATTATGTACTTTTTTATTTAGCGTTCACTTGGTGTGCAATTCTTTTGTCTACGAGATTTTATTCTATTTTTAAAACTTTAAGTATTTAAAATGGATTAAAAATCATGTCTATAGCCCGAGTTTCCATCCCCTGTTATTTTATATAAAAATATTCAAGAAAGTTTAGAGGAGATCACTCCCGGTTTATTTATAACGATATGTCTATTGACAGCTGATGCTCACAATACAGAGCTTGCCGTGTATGGCAATGTAAATAAATAATGCAATTACAAAACTTTCAAATACGAAATTCCAAACTTCCAAAATGTGCCGAAATGTTACATGGATAAACATAATTGAAGGGAAAGAACAGTGGTGGGGCCGGGAGGTGCAGGTGGGGGCTGGTTGAGTGGGCAGGGGAGGTGTAGGTAGGGGTTGGTTGGGTGGGCGGGGAGGTGTAGGTGGGGGTTATTTGGGTAAGGCGGGCTAGGCAGCGGGATCGTTGTTGTGTGACATGAAAGCTGAGGGTGAGGGGCGGGTCGCGATGGTTGACAGGACATGGGGAGAATGAAAGTTTGAGTTTAAGGCGAGCCAGGAGTAATAGGCTGAGATGTGTGTGAACTGACTACTGAGGTGTTACTATTTATAGTGTGTGTGTTAGTGTGCTGTATTTGTCAAGTCGTCTGCTAAAAATTAAATCTAAAATCTGTCCCGTAAACTGTGAATTGTTATTTTTTTTGGTATTTTTTGTGTACGTATATGATAATAGTAAAATAGAGACAACTGATAACTTTACAATGTCTGTTTGTAAGTGTTATACATAAAACAATACACAATTAAGCAACAATAGGAAACTGAATGGCAAATAATACATGGAGCGAAACAAGGTGGGGGCATGGGGGATGTGGGGGTGGGAGTCAAATTAATGTTGTTAGAAATTTATTTGGATAATACATCATCTTCAGTATTTAACACAGGGGTGGGGTCGTGGGGACGAAGGGGATGCAGTAATGGGGGTAAAATGATATTGGGGTCATGAGGTTTAGGGGCGGGGGGCGGCGAGGTTGTGATGAAAGGGGATGTGTCTGTTAGATTAGGCGGGCCAGGTGGCCAATGCAGTGTAATATGTTATTTGCGTTGTGGTGTTGCTAATTATGGTATATGTGTTTGAGTGCTGTCATTGTCGAGTCGTCTACGATAAAATCAAGTCTAATAAGTGTCCCGTGAACTGTACCTTGTCGTGTTTTGCTTTTGTTCTACTGTTCCAAATAGTCTGTTTATAGATACCTACCGTCCTTGCTTTTTGCTCTAGGTCCGTCCTGTCTCTTTGTTTAGGGATTTTGTTTAGAGTTATAACTAAATCAATGTTAAATGTCTCGTATTTTGTTATTTTGGTTTCTATCATCTTTTTCATGTTTTGTATGGAGGGACATTCTAAATAGATGTGTTTTCCGTTTCGGGTGTGTTTTGTCTGCATAGTGGGCAAAAGGGTTTCTGTTGTTTTGCTAGGTGAGTTGAATTGTAGATGAGTCTGTATGTTATTTCCCTGGCTTTGGGTGTGATGGTTTTGAGGTGTAGGTTCCGGAAGGTGTCTATTGTGTCTGTTAGAGCGTATTCCCTACACCATTGAATTCGGCTGTATAATGGGGTTGAGAGTTTTTGCACTCACTTTTAGTAGATGTTTTGTGATTTTTCGTGAACAAGTTGTTCCTTGTTTTTTAATATTTGTAAGCAGAATGCTTACAGAACGTTTTCAAAAATTGAATAATTGACGACGAAAATGATACAACAAACGGGAAATTTATATCACGCTTAAAATATATAACAAAATATATAACATATTTATATGGTTCTTATGATTTTAAATACAAAAAAAAATTATATACATTTATATATATAGAAACTTTTCTATTTAAAGACATTTACGAATGCATAATTTGTTATTAGAAAAGTATTATAAACATATAATAGTTGTATATTGTTTTTGTACTGCTTAGGTAGACTTTAATCAACAAAAGCATTGGAGAGCTGTTTCCCTTATAAAATGTAAATTAAATTAAGTCCCCTTTATTTATCACATCCAAGCAATACCATTCTAATAATGTCTTTCTCTTAATCGTCCACCTTAGCACAGGGACTTTAGTCAGATCAGTTTTATTTCATTTTAAAAGTGTGACAATCGCAACAGTATAATTCATGCTTATTTTGTTTTATTTTCCTATTAGTTTAATATCGAGTATTTTCGAGGTTATGTTTATTGTTTATTTTATTGTCTGCCATTCTTCACTTATTTAATGTTTGATTTAAAATGTTCTTGGGTAGATTTAAATTTACCCATTATGTCACATTTTTTGACACTATTATTGTTTGATTTAATACTTCTCGATTCTTCTCTTTTTTGCTTTCGCTCTTCGTGATATTTTTTTTCGTTACAAAAACAGCTATAGTCTGGGTTAGATGTAACATTTTCTCCATCGCTTCTGATTGTTGTTGATATATTTTAATGCCAATAACACACTTTTAGTCCTGTACTTTAATTGATTGATGTATAGGCAGCTCTTGAAGCATAAGTTACCTATATAGTGACATCTGTTAACTTTTCTGAAACTTGAAAGCAAAATAACAAGATATTGACGTTTATGTTAGACTTCCTTGATCTCATATCTGACCTCCAGTATTAAATCTGCTGTCTCTTCCTCTTCATGTGAATGACCCAACATTTTTCGACTTGAGCTCTAGAAGTACAATCAAAGCATACATCAACTCGTAGTAATCTTTCTCAATATCATTCATTTGGTAAACTTTGTGACAAAACTGTGGGGGTTCCATTAACAGCCTCACCACATAACTTGATTTAAATTATCTATTTTCGACTCTGGGATCTTGACGATTATAGTGTTTACAATCTTTGCATTTCGTGTATAGATAAGGAGCATCATTTATATCATATTTTTAACGTTGTTCTACAATAGCTTGGTATTATATCTCAGTTTAAAATATAATATTTTATATGGCGTTTCATTTATAGTTTGACATCAGACACAGTAATCAGAGTTTGTTTTAAATCAATTTAGGCTCAAGAAATTATTAGCTATTTCTATAGATCATGTACTATATGTTTCTTATTAATGCTCAGGTTTGGAATGCAAACATACTTTCAAAAATCTTCTTGGTGTTATGTTTTTAAATCATAACAAAACCTAATGTGTGATTAAAAACAATCTTTATGTGCAACATCCGTTGTAGAGTGAACACACGTTTACCATGTTATTTAATATATTATTACATGCATGCAATTTTTGTTTATATAACAATAAATAAAAGAGTAAGGATCTAAAAAAATAGAAAGCGTATTCGTAAGCAAGCATGTGATACGATAGTCCACTTTTAGCATTACTTGAGTTCATGTGTAGTATGTTATATTATTCGGTAGGAGCATAATTGAATAGACATGTGACTTTAACTTCCTAACCTTTCAAAAACGTAGATCTAGTAACCTAAAACTCGTTCTTGGATATTTTGTTAATGACAAATATTTAATGTTGTAAGGAAACAAATATTTGCTCAACTGACATTTCTGATGAACTGAATATAAAATACTTTTTCAGTCACTAATAAGAACATTTTTTTATATAAAGATATGGCGTTTTTATTTGGATTGTTTAAAATTGTATTTACATATTACAAAAAATAAACAAAACAACATTTTAATAAAAGAAAAATAATTTTTACTTTTAAATCTCTATCAATAAAAATGTGTTCCATCAATTGGTGTTCTTCATCTATCGATTTTAAATGTTGTAAGAGTTGTTGTTTCCCCTAACTAAAGGGAAATAACTAGATGACTTCTTTTAGCAAAGTGCTATTTATAATCTTCTATTCTATTTCATCTTGTCCGACACATTTCCATATGAATGTGGTACATACACAAATGTAATATGTTGAAGTAGTAGAATATTTATTTATACATAACCGTATTAAATAATCGCGTCTGCTCAGTTTGCTTTTAATGAATTTCACAATGTGTGTCGTGTATCGATTACATCAGTATGTTTTATTTTATTTCCTTTTATAAGGTTGTCCATATACATGCATAAATCTACATAAATAAACGAAACCGTGCATGTTTATAATATATACATTAAACATATGTTTATTATGTGTCCTATTCTAAATAGGCCCTATGTCTAAAAACTAGTTAGCTTGTTTCAGTTAGCTAGATCAGCAATTGTAAAGAGCCGATGTACTTTTATTGGTTCACATTCAATTTAATATCATTCACACAGCCATGAAAATACGGTGTTTGTTTATTTTGTTAAAATCGAATAATTGGATGACTATGGTTCACATCTGGCAAGATGTATTTTAGTTTCGCTTCAGTTCTATAAAGCAATGGAAATCACTGTCACCTTGAGCAGGGCGGATTTAGCTTTTTTTTTAAAAAACATTTATATATAATTTATATTAAAAAAAAACAATTTAGAATGTAGTATACACATATTTTATTAGTGTTTGTAAAATAATTTTTAAAAGTTATTTCCCATGAGTAAAAACTAAAAGACGATATTCGAGTAGATTGTATTACAACACCAAACAACACATTTGATAATTAACATAATTATTCTCACCACACTTTCCAAAATAAAATAGATACAATTTGGTGAAACATACACCACATAAATCAATGCAATTTGCCAAGATATTGAGTTATACCATCACTAATCCAAGGCGTGTCTTAAGTGTTATCTAGAGGCATGCAAACACAAAGGCACAAATACTTCTTGGATTGTATGGGGTTATATATAAAAAACATTACACTTTTTCGGACGATTTTTACATCATCCACCCCCTCCCCTCCGCCACACATCGTCACAAAAAGCCAGACCCTATCCCCTAAAATGACGTAACACCTCAGCCTACAACTTCCATCAAAATAAAATTGCAATAGCATTTTTTCCAAAATCTTTTTCTGAACTCTGTCAAAAATGGAGTATTTTAATCAATTCCTATTACAGTTTATTAAAACAGTTTTCTAAAACGCAAAATAACGGCTAAAACTCGTTTTCTAACAAAGCTTTTTTTAGAAGTGAAAATGTGTGACGTCACACCCCTCATCACACACCGTCACAAAATTACAGACCCCTTCCTCATACGAGCCTGACGCCATTTATGGACGAATCCTTTTATAAACCGTCTTCGTGACCATAGGTGGAGAGTGTCCAGGGTTGGAGTGGATATAGCTGGCTGTATTTTGATTATTGTTGCTATTGATGTTGTTCTGTCTTCTGCTGAGTGTGGTGCTGATGTAGGGGTTTTCTGTTGAGGTGACTTAGCTAGCAGTGGGTTGTCCAGTGGTGTAGAGGTTTTCTGTTGAGGTGACTTAGCTAGCAGTGGGTTGTCCAGTGGTGTAGTGGTTTTCTGTTGAGGTGACTTAGCTAGCAGTGGGTTGTCCAGTGGTGTAGTGGTTTTCTGTTGAGGTGACTTAGCTAGCAGTGGGTTGTCCAGTGGTGTAGGGGTTTTCTGTTAAGGTGACTTAGCTAGCAGTGGGTTGTCCAGTGGTGTAGTAGTTTTCTGTTGAGGTGACTTAGCTAGCAGTGGGTTGTCCAGTGGTGTAGAGGTTTTCTGTTGAGGTGACTTAGCTAGCAGTGGGTTGTCCAGTGGTGTAGGGGTTTTCTGTTGAGGTGACTTAGCTAGCAGTGGGTTGTCCAGTGGTGTAGAGGTTTTCTGTTGAGGTGACTTAGCTAGCAGTGGGTTGTCCAGTGGTGTAGGGGTTTTCTGTTAAGGTGACTTAGCTAGCAGTGGGTTGTCCAGTGGTGTAGGGGTTTTCTGTTGAGGTGACTTAGCTAGCAGTGGGTTGTCCAGTGGTGTAGAGGTTTTCTGTTGAGGTGACTTAGCTAGCAGTGGGTTGTCCAGTGGTGTAGGGGTTTTCTGTTGAGGTGACTTAGCTAGCAGTGGGTTGTCCAGTGGTGTAGGGGTTTTCTGTTGAGGTGACTTAGCTAGCAGTGGGTTGTCCAGTGGTGTGGTGTAGGGGTTTTCTGTTGAGGTGACTTAGCTAGCAGTGGGTTGTCTAGTGGTGTAGGGGTTTTCTGTTGAGGTGACTTAGCTAGCAGTGGGTTGTCCAGTGGTGTAGAGGTTTTCTGTTGAGGTGACTTAGCTAGCAGTGGGTTGTCCAGTGGTGTGGTGTAGGGGTTTTCTGTTGAGGTGACTTAGCTAGCAGTGGGTTGTCTAGTGGTGTAGGGGTTTTCTGTTGAGGTGACTTAGCTAGCAGTGGGTTGTCCATTGGTGTAGGGGTTTTCTGTTGAGGTGACTTAGCTAGCAGTGGGTTGTCCAGTGGTGTGGGGATGTGCAGTGTTGACATGTTTGCTCTCTGTCTGGGGTGGCTCTCTGATTTTCTATTATGTTGTCCTTGTAGTTCAATGTTATGTATTGTGCGATGATTGTTGGTTTGGCTGTGTAAATGAAAATGCTGCGGTCATTGGTATAAGAGATGAAATTATTTTATTCCGACCTGGATTTCTGGTTCTGATTGCGTTGACATGTTTTTGTTTTGGAAAATACACCACCCCAGGGAAAAAGAACGTCAGTTTCCGATGTAAGATAATGTTTTGATTAAATTTTAAATGTTGATATAATTTCCTTTTTCAATTCAATATCCAGTTCCAGTTAAAGGTTAAATGTCCATTATAGTTTTTTTTTTAATTCCATAAAAAGTCAAAGATAAAGATCATCTTCCAGATTAACGCTTCCGGTTAGATTTAGACTCCAATGAAATATATGTTAAATTATATAACTATACGTTTTATAAATATAAAGAATACGGTGGGTCACTATATTGTATATTAAATAACTCTGCTAAAATTAAACGATCATAGTAAAACGAGTAGTGGAATAAAGTGATCGAAAGAGCCTACCATGGCATTAACAGTGAATAAGTGAACAAATTAAAGCTACTCCGCCATTCGCCTTCACCCTACATTTGGCCGACACCACCAACAGCATTTTCCGTAGTCTAAAGTCGTCTGAACGTAAGCTTACTTAAGTGTTTTATGTTAAAGTAATAATTCTGACATTTTTTTGTTCATTAATTACTTGTTTTGAAGTCATTAATAAATTAATTAATTTTGAACGTAACACTTTTTTACACTAAAACCGACAGAAATACGTCAAAAAATTTCATACCTAGTATTTTCTTTAAATAATAAGAAATTGAGATAAATATTTATTTGATGATTATATTAAGATTTTTAAAAATGCATAGTATCGCCTATATTTGCTTTGTATCTGTATAATTTTTTTGTTATAATCCAACTTGTTAAATGAATAAAATAATCATGCTCAACTCTCTGTTAGCCATATTTAATTGATTAATATGTTATTGCAATCGAATAGTGATAATTTGAGAAAAAAAATCAAAGAAAGCTGTATGAATAGTCTACTCATTAAGTACATGAGAATATATACCATATAAATCAGTATTATTTAAAACCTAAGATTACACGTTGTGTTTGTCAAAAGTTCATCGGATATATATAGTAAACCAGCTAGTATTTTATCGAAAAGTTAAAGGCGGAAAAAAAGATAATATTTGGTGGTAAACAGTGGTTTTAGGTCAAACATTTGTAAAACGTGAAAAAAAAATATATTCCAATAATCAATAATACTAAGCGGTTGACAATGTCAGTCATAAATGATATAACAAAGTAAATAACATATTTAAAGGGTTCTGATGATTTGTAAATATTAACGCAATTTAATAAATTTTTATAATGAATGTTATTTCTTGAATATTACAT